AGCCCCCTCCTCGCCCCTGTCCCCGCTGGAGCCCTGGCAGCGACGCTCCCAGGGCTGCTGTACCCAGAAAGGTGGCTGACTCAGAACCGGAGTGCTCGTTCAGTAAGAGGAACGTTACCCCAGTTACCGGTGAGTAATCCCAAAAGTTTAATGTGAGGTAGGGAAGGAGAGCACTGCAGTGACAGCTGGGGGTGAGAATGGGAGCTGGGCTGTATTTTGGGTTTCCCCATGTCACCTCCTACCTCCCAGGCTTGGGGTTTGTGTGGGGGAAGCAATCCCTTGGGCTGCTGTGTCCCAGCGGGGTAATGGGTGCGTAAAACACTCTGGTGGGTGGCGAAGGAGGGTCAAACCCCACGGTTGCTGCAGGGAGCCCTGCTCCAGCCACCAAAATGCAGGGTGGAGGACACGAGAAATATCAACAGGCCCTTCTCCCCTGCCTCTTGGTGCAGCATTGCTGCTCCATCCTGGGCGATGCTGAGCCACTGCAACGGCTCCTCTCGATGCAGCACATCCCGGCAGGGAGCCCAGCTCCCACCCACCACTCAGACCAAGGCAGGAGGAGGAGGAGGAGGAGGAGCAGGAGCTCCATCACAGCACCGATGGGACATGGCAAGGCTGTAGGACACCCCGCTGTGGGACCAGTGATAACCAGCAGCTGACAGCAAACATCAAGAACGGGGCTGAGCCTGCAAACACACATGCTTGTGCTTCATGTGCAGCACAAGCCCTCAACGAGCATCCATCACACATCTGCAGAAGCGGGGCAAAACCTTCTTCTCTCAGCATCCCCATTAACAAAAGGGCAGTAAACCAAAGCGTCTGTGCCCTTGCTACTGGGATAAGAAACCCAGCCACTGGGACTGCCACAAAACCACGGTCCTCTCGAGGCACGCGGGAACATTACCTCTTTGTAACTCAGTGCTGCTGATGGTCTGAGCGGAGGAGCGGGACGGAGGCAGCTCAAGCTCCAGGGCTTGAGGATTTTGGGGGGTTCCAAAGGCCCACGGATCTGTCCGGCTGAACTAAATGTCTGAGAAAAGAGAGGAGAAGCAAACACAGACTGTCAGCCACTAAACAAGCAGAGGGGGATGGACAAGGGCTCACCATGAACTTCTTTGAGACATCTAAGACGCAACAAAAATAGGGCAGGACACACGTAAAATGACACAAGCACAACACGGTTACAAGCAAAACTGCAGGACGTGTCTCACAGCTGTACATGTCACCTCGATATCACAGCACGTTGCCCAAAAAGAGCGGGCAGGCAGCGCTGGGGAAGCCCGGGCGGCAGAGAGGCCGGGGAGGAGAGACGCTTACCGAATGGGCACCCCAGGACGGCGTTTTGGATACGGTGTTGCAGGTCCCTTTGGTCAGCCTTTGCAAGTGGTCAAGCCATTCGTGCAAGTCCTGGCTGGTGCTGCAGGATACGGTGATCCGCTCTGTCATGTTCCCTGAGGCAGAGGGTTAAAGAAATGTCTTTAACAAGCCAGAGAGACCCAGGAGAAAACACAGGGAGAGCTCAACTCAGCACAGCAGCAAACGGATCCTCAGCTTGCAAAGCAGGGGCTGCAAAAGGCTGGTGAAAAGATCCTAGAATGGTTTAGGTTGGAAGGGACCTCAAAGATCATCTAGTTCCAAGCCCCCTGCTGTGGGCAGGGACACCTTCCACTACACCAGGTTGCCCAAAGCCTCGTCCAACCTGGCCTTGAACATCTCCAGGGATGGGGCAGCCACAACTTCTCTGGGCAATCTGTTCCAGTGCCTCACCACCGGAGGCATGGATGTGACTGCACATCGTGCTTCGGGCACCCAGTGCCAGCCAGCATGGGAGCAGCACAGAAAAGCAAAGGGAACTGGTGAGACGAACGTGTGAGGAATTATTTAAGGTTAAAAGTAAGCAAAGGCAACATTTCCTTGATGAACAGGACCCTGATACCAAATACCACCAGCACAAACAGCTGCACTGCAGCCAAATCACTGAGCACAGCAACCGTGTATAGCTACAAGTAAGGAGATAAATTGAAGAGGAAAAGTGGGAGGAGCATTAGGGAAGCTACCTGATAGCCAGAGCCACCCATCTGTCAATAAATGAGGGGCTCACAGCTGCATGGGATGGACCCTGGATGCAGACAGGGCACGCATGGCACAGAGCAGTGCTACTGGGGCCACGACCAGCCCTGGCAGCAGGCTTGTCCCATACAAAACACTACGGTCTCCGAAAGCAGCCCAGTGCCAGAGATGGAGCCCGAGGGCACTGGGAGGAGGTTGCCTCAACCAGGAGGGAGATGCTCAGGAACACAGATGCACAGTAAAAGAGCAAAAAGAGCAAGGTGCAGTGTGTGAGGGAGAAGGAGGACCAGTACCTCCAGTGGGACGTTGTCTGGGACTGGGAGGATGTCCCCAGGCAGGGGCTACACTGACCTGCAATTTCAAACATGTGCTCGTTCCCTTCGGCGTCTTCCAGCTTAGTCAGCGTCATTCCCGTCAAAGGCAGCTTTCCCTAGGAGAATCGAGGAGGAGTCAGTGTCTGCATCTGCTTCCCAGAGCACACTGTTCTCCTTGCTTCTGCTGATCCCTTTCCCTCTGGGAATTGCCATCAAAAACTAATTTGCGAAGGCTTCAGGCTGCAGGAAGAGTCTCCTTTAATGCATGGATCTAGATTTCCCTGCACAACTAGGTCAAACTCCTGAGAAGAGGCTCCCACAACAACTGAGTCATCCCCGGCTCATCTGCCACCCTTTCCCTTCACTAGGTGCAAACCCGTTTCACAACCAAGTCAGGAGGATGAACTTCCCCTGGTTTTACTGAAAGTTTTCCCTGTCCCTCCGTTTTGCATGCTGAACTGCATGCCCAGTCAAATCCTTCCCAAATCCTTCCCACCCTTGCCTACCACAAATGACACATCAACACCAGAGCATCCTTCTCCTGGAGGGTATCAATGGTTTCAGGCAAGTGGAGGAGGCAACTGCCAAGCTCCCAGCAGCGTGACTGCAGCCATTCAAACGGTAAGCCACAAGAAATGCAGCGTTTGGGGTGTCTCACGGAGTAGAAATTCTGGGCTCTTCACAGTGGGCTTTGTAGTAGTGAAGCTTTATCCAGAGATGGCCCAACACTGACAGCTGGCTGGCTGGTGGTGTGGGCCAAAACCCTATAGCTGGCTGAGGACACCTTACACACGCACACAACATTCTTGAGAACAGCATGTAGGACAACACGCTGCAAGGTTGGGTTGGTTTTTTTTTCTAATTTCACAGCATTCACATTTCCCAAATGGTGTTTTACCAGTTGGCAGGACAGAGGCACCCCAGTGTCCTGGGGCAGCCTGAGGGCCTTTGCATCAAAACAGACAGGTTTAAGGAAACAGAGGATTTGAATTTGATAAAAGCTATCTGATTTCCTTTTTCACACCTAACGCCTCGCAATTTCAAACTAAGCATTGCCTACCTGATAGATGAACCCACTCATCCGTGGGCTGGCAGACAGCATCAGCAAAACGTTTGGAAACAACAAGAAATATCGCTCTTCTTTCTCCTGCAGGGAGAAGAGGTTGGGTTAGCCCAGCCTGCAATGCATCACCAGCACTCCCCTCCATCAGACTGAACCTGCTGCAGCTGGAATCGCAACCTTCCAGACACCACCCCCAAACCAATTATTTCGGCTTCTTTTCTTTGCAGCATCTCATTTCTGTACTAGTTTTTCCTGCAGACGTTTTGCCTGCACCCTGACTAATCCTGACAATGACATTACTGATGTCCTCTTCCAATCATTTCAGAGTGCCTCGGAAGACTAAGACCTTATGTATGTCCTCGAGCACCCCACATCCCAAACTAGACTCTACAGGGCTTTGTTTTACAGGTCTTCCCTTCCCAGGGAAAAATTGCTACAGCAAGCAAGCAATTCAGTGATAGCAGGCACTTTCCCACACCAAGCCCACAGTACGCATGGCTTTAACACCACTGGTGAAGGGCTGCAGCAAGCACTGGTGCAGCGCTTTCGGACCGACAGCACGGGAATCCCTCTCGTTATTTCCAAAGCACAGTCAGCTCTGGAACGGGATGTGGCAGCGGCTGCCGCGCTGTGCACAGGACGTGGCAAAATGCTTATGCTAATGCACACACTTTCAAGTCACTCTCACTTCTCAGAGTAAGTCACAGAGGGGGAAAGGAGGGAAAATAACGTGCTATATGACACCAAGATGCTTCTTTTCGCTTCCAAAGTGTGTCACCAAAGGCCCTAAGTTAAGCCCCCGGTGTGCTGGGCTCCAAAGACGTGCACAGTCCCATTGCACAGCTCTTCTCCAGATAAAATTATTTATTTGTCAGCACTTTGCTGGCCTGGAGAGAGCAGCTGCAGCCTTGCATCGCTGCTCCCACGAGCAAGGGGACGCATTAGGGCACAATATCTTTAGGCAGGACACTCACCTCATTTCCCCCACACTGTACCATAACCTGGGACATGTAGATGATGTTTCCCATCGTTTTTATGTCCTCTCCTTCCCAGCGCTGGATGGATTCGGAAAGGATCTGCAGTTCGAGTTGCTTCCTCTTCCTTAGCTCTTGGCATTGCAACTGGGAATCACAGCAGGGAGCTTCATTAGCCAAAGGGTGGGAGCAAACCCAAACCATCCCAACAAAGACAGTTTCACCAGCAACGCTCCTGCAGCCACGTGGGCTTGGGACTGGTCACGCCAAGGGATCAGGAAAGCCTGCTTTGGCTCTAGCACACAAAGCTAATTAAAAAAAAAGTCATAACCTAGCGATTTATGAAGTAATGAATAAGTCAAAACGTCAAAGAAATGGCGAACTGCACTGAGAAAACTTATCTTTCCAAACCAGTTCTACCTCTGACAGTACAGGGTCACATTTTCCAAACCAAGATAGCGCAGAGTTAGATGTCTCTGATTCTGTGTGGCTCAGAGAGATTCTGCCCGCATTGCCCAAACAGCAGAGTTATGCTTGCAGCAATGCAAAGCCCCCCACGAATCAGATGGGCAGATATTTTCTAACCAAAATTTGCAGCCCCAGAAGTGGGACTTGCCGCAATATTTCAGCGGCACAGCAGAGTAGCACAAAAAAGAAACTTTTGAAGGTGCTGGAATTGAAACAGCTGCACCCATGCTCAGCAGCTGGCGACTGGTAGAGCTCCAAGGAGCTGCCAGTCCTTCCAGCAGCTTTCAGCAAGCAGAGGACAATGCTGACTGAGCAACGACAGCCCTGCGAATCCAAGCAAAACTTGCTTTAACTGACCCCTCTGCCAACAGGGAAAAATCGCTGCAAGGCCAAACCCAGGCTCAGTTTTCACCAGCTGCTTGGTTTTTTTCCAAACCCATTTCTGACAGAGATTTTCCTCCTTTCTAGCTCAGCTTCATACAAAGTCTTTGACTGTCCAGGTCTTCAAAGAGAGAAGCTGGATTGGGTCTAGTCTGAAAACACACAAATTTGAGCCAAACTGCGGGGGCTTCCTCCTGTTTTGCAACTGCTGAGTGCTTTGACAGCTCCCAGAGTGTCCGAATCCACTGTTCCCAGCATGTACATCCCTATAAAACCCACAGAGATCCACCGCTGTCTGTGCAGAGGCACCACCGCAAATCGCGGCGGCTCCACGGTCCCTCCCTGCCTTCGCTCCGGAGCCTCCCTGCTCCCACCACGGGACCACGCGTCCATCGCAAGGGGCATCTCTGCCCGTCTAACCTCAAATCCTCCCTAAGCCTCGTACCATAATTACATCAAATTGCTCAGCACCCAAGTACACATTTCAACTAGAACCGTCCATCGCTTACGAGTATTCCTAAAGGCTAATGACACTTCGTACTTTAACTGAATTATTCCCCTATTACCTACTAGAATAAATGGAAAGGGAGCTGAGTTTCTCAGTAAATGTAACACGATCGCCCTTTCCTGTTTTCTATGAACTTTCTCCTCCTCGTCTTTTATCTCCGCTGCTGAGCACCGAAAACTTGCATCTGCCGCGCTAAGGAAGGAAGTTGGACCACATCTGGAGTGGTTGTAGTGAAAGGCATTCAGTGGTGACAAAGCGAGAGAGGCTGTAGCTTTTTTAATAACCGAAAAAAGCTTTGCTGGGTAAAACCTTTGCGCGCCTGGATGGCTTTTCCCCCTCTTTTTCATCTCGGTGCAGTAGGACTTTGAGGGGTGCAGGTAACACAGCTCACAGAAACAGGTTTGCTACCTCTGACTCATCCCTTTGCTGCCGCTTACTCTGTTCCTCACCGATGGCACTGGGAGCCACAAATTACCTGCAACACGGTCAAAGCCTCCCGAAGCCCAGGGAGCAAACCTCAACAAAAGCAAGAGTCGCTCGATGGGCTCCGAGGGGACCTTCCTGCTGGCACCAGCAGTTGAGTCAGACGCCCGTGTTAACCTTTCAGAGCGCATCTGAACAAGCGAGGGGCGGTCTAGTTTCAGGTGGCAAACAATTAGGGTATGGAGGCAAAAGGAGATCAAAGGGATCCCGCCGCCACCACTACCCACTCATGGCTTTCTGCAGCGGAGGAGAAAGTCGTCCATCCTCTGTCTCTGCTTCTGGGACCACAGAGCCAGCGTGCGACTGCTGGAACTTGCAGCCAGAGGGGCAGCTCTCGGCTTGAAACTTGAAATTAAGATTCTTTACAACCTGTCTTTTCCATTCCAAAAGACCTGTGTGTTTTTTTTTCTTTCTTTCTTTTTTCTAATGAGGAGACAAATGTCAGTCTTGACTCATTCTTCGCGAAACGCAGCCCTGAAACAGAGTGCTCTATTTTAAGAATTGCCACCTACCACGAGAGACTTGAAGGACGCGATGGCTTTCAGAACCTCTTCGTGATCCGCATGCGCCTCCTAGTGAAGGGAGAGAACAAACCCTCAAACCCTCAGCCACCGGCACCCACTTGGCATAGCACCCGCTGCTCCTGCACCCAGGGATGCAGAGCTCGCAGGGTGCTGGGTGATGTGGGGCTCGGGCAGCACGGGGCCAAAATCCCCCCAGATATCTTCCTCACCACCCTGTTCCATGTGACACGGTTTAAACAAATCATCAAATTCATTTGATACCAATTTAATGAGCGTAAAGCAGCCAGAGCAAGAGTGGGTATGATTTTACTTCGAACAAACTTGGCTTGCAAAGAAAAATCAATCAAAAGAGGCAGAGGTACAGGGTGGATTTCTGGTTTCACCTTCAGGAAGGAAACTCCACTGGTATGCAAGGTATTTCAGCCGTTGCCCCATCAAGATTTCCATCTCCATGAGCATCGATGGGAACTTCACCTCTGGGTCTAAGGGAGGGCATGTCTGAGCAGAGCTCAGGCCAGGGAGGGGAAAGCAGGATGCAGCCCCTTATCTCCAACTGCAGCTGTATGCTAGTACTCTCCCAGCACCTTCTCCCGGGCATCTAAGGCCCTACATCATAAGCTCTTCACCATCCAGACCTCATGCCGAGCAAATCTTAAGGTTGTGATGGAGCTGTGCCTGCAGCTGTCAGAGGCTGCCTGGGATCACTCACCTCTGAATTCGGGACGAGGGCTGCCCTGGACAGACCTGCCCCAGGTCCAGCTGCGCAGCGGTGCAGGGAACGCTCTGGTACACAGCCACGCCGCATACGTCTATACTGCATACATCCAAACTCTTCCCACGGCATCGCAGCTTAAACCTCAACCCGGCTGATTCATGCAACAAAACCCCCACGCTCAGCTTAGACACCAAGAGGTGACACGTGTGTCCCCGAATCCACTGCCGCCCCCCACACAGCACCCTGCAAGGAGCCCGCTGCCTCCGGACGGGCATGGCGGCTGCAGCCGAGCTCAGCTCCGTTCCTGCAGCTCAGCTAAGGCAGGTGAGAGCAGGACAGGTCCGATTGGTAGTGTGCCCCCAGTGCGGGCTCTCAGGCTCTCTTCTCCTACATACAAAAACCCCTGGCTCAAGCACAGAGTTTTTAATCCTCTGGCTGAGATGTGGATTTGAATGATCATAGAATGGTTTGGGTTGGAAGGGACCTTAAAGATCATCTAGTTCCAACCCCCCTGCGATGAGCAGGGACACCCTCCACTACATCAGGTTGCTCAAAGCATCATCCAACCTGGCCTTGAACATCTCCAGGGATGGGGCAGCCACAACTCCTCTGGGCAACCTGTTCCAGCGCCTCACCATCCTCACTGTAAAAAATTTCTTCCTTAGATCTAATCGAAATCTTCTCTCTTTCAGTTTACAGCTATTGCCTGTTGGCTGAGCATGCTGAGTAATTAACTGGTAATTAATACTGGAAGAGAGGAAAAAGTAAACCTGGTTAAAAATAGACTGTTACTTCTGTTTTCTTGACCTCCCTGCACCACCTCTGAGGTTTGCATCCCTGCGGCTGGAGCGCAGGGGCAGGCAAGCAGCAGAGCTCCAGCGGCAGAGATCTTTACAGTCCCGGGGGAGAAAAAATGTCCTAAAGCGGATCTGCCACCCACCGAGGAAGCCTCTGTCCCTCTTGGCTGGCCTCCCTTC